ATCCCAACAGGTTCACCGACCTCTCGGATATCCAGTGACTGGTGCGATGACGACGGATAGTGCCACAGCAGATGCTCCTGCGTCCTTCATTGAGGCCGAGATCCTATTCTATTGAAACTCAGTGTCATTAGGACAAGACAGCGAAAGTTCGGTATACAGTGCTTCTTGATAGGCTTGCCTGACCGAGGACTGCGACAATTTCTCCGTTGCCAATCGTAGGGGACACTTGGTGCGCTTCCCGGTAAAGTTCATGGAGAAACGACAGCGTACCAAGGCATGATCAGAGTCGACACAGGTACTCCAGTACGAGCGGCCATCTAGGATGGAACCACGCCACCTGTAACTTATGGCAATGTGATCAATTTGGGTCCATCGCTGACCAGCTACAGAAGGACGCCAAGTGGCACTTCGGCGCCCACTGTGTCTAAAAGCAGTGCTACTAAGAAACAACTGGTGCTTCGCACACAGTTGCAGCAGACGCTCACCGTTGTCAGTCCGTTCGGAGTTAAGTCCACAATTACCACCCAGCTGAGCTTCTGAAGAGCTCAGACGCCCTACTTGTGCGTTCATATCCCCTGCAAATACCATAATATCTGAACTAGTAGCACTGCGTAGCAGCGCGTTCAGTTCGTGATAGAATGTGTCCTTGACAGCGTTTGAACTGCAGTCGGTGGGAGCATACGCGGAAATCACAAACAAACAGCGTCTTTTACTACTTCGTGAATTAACCTTAGCTGATGTCGTCAAACGGGCTGCATATAAACGGCTGTTCACCGGAATCCAATCAACCAACGATGACTCGGCCTTGGAGCTGAGAATGATACCTACACCAGCTTGACCCGTGAGTGCTGCATCAGCGTCTCCGGACGCGTGCAATCAATAAGGAGAGGATAATCCGGGTGCAGTTAATTCAATAACCCCGTTGGGGTCATTGATCCTAGTTTCGGACACACAACACACATCAATACCCAGTGTGTCCAAGGTGCGTGCAAGTGCAGTCTGTTGACCTGCTTTCTTAGAGTGCGAACGTTGAACGTCGCCATGGAAACGGGACAGCGTGGCCCTATAAGGGACTTTTGCCGATAGGCGTCCGATAGGTGCGGTGGGATGTTGGCTGCAGATGGTTCTACTCCAGTAGCATTTCGGTTGCTGTCAATTAATCTGGGAATTATAGAAGGAAGGTTAGTAATGGGGGTCGGGATGAGAGTAAGAGAAAAAGGTGGAAAAGAAAGAAGGGAGGCGCCAGCAGTAGTATGTTTTCGCCTATCCGCCCTGCTCTATGCAGCAGATAAGGCGACCCTTGACAATCTGCGCGACGGCCGATGCAGGATGAAGTTTATGTTTGAAGAAAATGTCATGGTTGTATGTGGGCTTAGATACTGCCAGGGCGCCCAGACCTATACAGGAGGACGATTAGGGATCTTATCCAAAGCCTTTGGCTCAAAAGCCTGTCCGCTAGGCAGCGGGGAGGTGGCAATGATTTAGTTTTACATAAATGGGCGCCATCCCATTTCAAACCCCCAACCTGAAGGACCAGGAGACTGAGTTTGTCTGACCTCTCACCATTGACCAACCTGGTAGGAGTAGCTCTCAAGGTGCCCGGATGCATCACCCAGTAAAGCTCAATAGGTCAATGAGATGAGCAAACCGTCGCACCACGTTAAGGTCCGGTCTCGTTGCGACGGAACTTGTGCGAATGTGTGATTTTGCTCCCAGGTCCGGCTGCGCTTGATGAGAACTTTAACAAGTTGATTACCTGTCGAATACCTCCATCTTGATTATTTGTTGGGGATGGGGTGCACAGCTTTCATAAAAGTGATAAGCTCAAGGATTTGTTCCATTTAGCTTTGAACCAATAGTAGGCTGGCTACCTACCTGTGTAAATCTGGAATGCATATTTTGTGCCGTTCAATTGGCATATGAACAGAAGGGAGGAGTGGGGTCCGGCTCTGAATCAACCTTGGCTCCAAATTTGATTCCTCAAGGTTTGTACTAGATAGGAGCTGTATAGGTGGTGCAGCGCAGTTCATAAGTGGTCTGACTGTATTTACAGGCATCTTGTCGCTGTGGCATATAAATCTGGAAACGGATGCAGCCAACTAAATCAGGACTTAGCATTTCGCTTAGGGATTAGGAGGTCGGTTTTTACTAGGGCGAAAAACCTAACTACGGAGTCCACTGATGTAAGCAAACCGCCTAACTCTAAAAATTGACAGAGTGCGGACTCCAATAGCAGTAGGTCGGGATTCAATGTAGCCTTCTGAATGGCTCCCTAATGCTTTATCCTACATAACTGTGGCACAGCAAACCGCTGTTCTAGATGCAAAAACTACCCTCTAGACAGTTCTTACCTTACATGTAAGTGGGGAGTAGGTTAGGCTATATATAGCAATCGGTATGTCAATCACGATGTCTGTGGTGGTCAAGCGTGAATTATTTGCACCAGCCGATTGCGTTAATGCATTGTAGTTCTGGTTTCTTTTAAAGCAAGTGCATACGCTGAAACGTTAGTCTCTAACCGAAAGAAATTGTAGTTTAATGCCTTCTACGTAGTGCAGAACTGGATGTCTGGTAAACGATTAGGATGAAGAAGTCATAATTTAAACGAAGTGGTTAATTCAATACCTTGCTCTCTAAATTTGCCAGTAGCCATGACCAATTTGTCAGTTTGGAGGGAAGCATGACAATACTGACACCTTCGCATGGGAAAAGATTTCAGTGTGCTATTCTGGTGGCGTTGGACCCTTGTCGAGCACAACACACCCGCGTTACTTTCTTGTTCAACAGACAGAGAACACTGTCGTGAATAGTTAAACCCATGTCCCCACTTGAAGGGGATTTTTGCCACACACACACACACACACACACTAACAGTGATAGAAAATGGAAGCGATGGTTCAAGGTTATTCGCAATCCAAACGCAGGTATACAATACTCGCAGTTTAACACTGGACCTCCTAATTTCTTCTGTTCAAGTAGTGCAATAAACTCACTTAAAGAAAGTGAAATGATAATGGGGTCGTTGGTTTACTTTTCTGTCAAGAATGACCCTCTGAAACATGCTTGGTTTTATTATATTTAACGAGTGCGGACAAGCAAATTTACTGTGATGCATCAAAGCTTAAAGCTATTTATGCTTAAAGCTCATGATGGTAACAAGAATTACGGTTATTAGCTTAAGCCCAAAGAAAGCGGAAAGGTCAGCTCAGGTCCGCGCCAGTTCTAAATCATTACGCTTGTTTGTTCTCGCTTATTTCTACATTGTTGGTGTTTGCTACTTTGTCCAATCAAATGTATTATTTTGAACTGTGAGATAAACCTCATAGTTAGGGGTTTCTTCGCGATCACCTCTAAATCAGCTAGCACTTCACATGCCTGGAAAAACACTAGACGGCTGTTTTGACCTGTTGGGTCTTGTCGGTAGCACGTAGCTATTGCGTCCATTCGGATACCAGCCCGTGAGCAGCAACAACGTGAGCATCACCAACGAGCAGCTTATGCCACTGGAACAAGAAGGAGATTGGCGGACCGTTGTGGTTTACAAGCTGACTGCGGTAGAGCGCAGCTCATGCTCTACTACCATGCAAATTATGAAAGTAACCCAACTCATAAGTATATCAAAGTGTCCGTCCTAACCGTTTCTGAAGGCCATGTCTTACAAAGCTGTTGACAGTTCTGTCTTTCGGGACCAACCCAGTCCACTACAACTTTCCTAGCTTACATGGCAATGGAGGACGAGACGCGCTGTTTGGCGGTTAGCTTATAAGTCACGGCGCTCCACCGTTGCCCCCCCCCCACTGGCTCAGAGGCATAAGCTGCTGATTGGCATTGCAAACCGCTAGCGATCACATGTTTGGATGTTGATGAAGGTGATAGATCTGCAGTAATGATGATAACAAACAGGTCAAAACGGCCGTCTAGAGTATTTTAAGGAATGTAGAGACCTATCCACTTTAGAAGCTCCTACGAAGAAACCCCCAACTATTTACATAAAAGATAATCTACTCATGATTAAACCTCGTGTTTAAGCTAGGATCCGCAATATACCCTTTTGCGATCAAGCAAGACACCTTCCAATAAACACTTCAATATTCAATAATGTTGTTCATATTATATGTTTCTGATTTGATTACACTGATTGGATAATCTATTTGGGACGACTGTTTTGCTGTTGTGATAGGACTTTTCTTGCTACTGAATGCATAAATGCAGTCAAAGGAAATGATGGGGTTACCATGTCAACAGATTACACTTCATTTTCCACCCAGTGGGTCACAATTCATAAGCACTACAAGTTGAAAACAAAGATGCATTAGGCAGGTATTCCTTTTATAGTCTAATACTAATCCTACTAATAGTTATCCAGATAACATGAAAGAGAAACGGACATCCTAGTGAGTAGCTCTCACAGAAATGCTGCAGACGCATGTCTACCGCGTAGCTTCATACGAAATAAGCGGTAGTTGGTGATCTAGGATTCGGTACGTATCATAATTATAACCTCTCATCCTTCAAACATCAACTACATCTGCTAGGCAAGATAGAGAAATGTCCATATTGATAACATGTAACCGATATCACGCGTGATCTAACGGCATTTATTCAGTAAGCCTGGCGTTAACAATGGTAAAATACACGAGGATACATACTGCTTGTTTAAATATGCATACCACAAACCAATCTATTAACCACCCAGGTTTGAGAAAGCCCACCTATATAATCTGACTTTTTGGCTAATTAGAGAATTCTTATCATTAATGGTTTTTCCGTATCCATACTGATTTCCATTGTCTTTCAACCATGCAATAATTAGTCCACTCTTGAACCAAGTCTATCTGATTTCGCGCAATTGCTGAAGAGATCCCAAATTATTTAATTTTATGCACGTGATACGCCGTTGCAGTGCAGAATCCCTCAATCCCTAAATAGACTGAACTGAAACAAATAACAAACAATGATTTCGAAGGAATGCCTTGTCAGTTGTGCTAATTCACCCTAACCTGGTTGTACATGTCTCAGATCGGGCCTGAAGTCCAGCTGAGGCTCAATGACCAGAGTGGTATCCACCGAGACTTCCCCCATATTGTTCTTGGCGACTGCATGGATGTGGTGCTGGTTGGGTGCACCTGCACGATTAAACTCCAGATGACTGATGCCACCATCTTGATAAATACGCCAGTTGCCGCCACCCCCACTCTGTCCGGAAAGAATAAAATGGGATGGATTGTCAAAAAAGTCGAGAATAGCATAAGTAACAGTTTACTCTGTCTTACGTTTAGATCCAAATGTTACGTATGAGCTGAAAGTAAGATGTTCTACGTAGATTCGCTTAATTGAAAGGACTGCAATGTACTGAGTTTGCACTTGAATGTCACTACGTTACCACTGTCCCGAACGGCCTTTTCACATGTGGCTCGAAAGCATTCAATGGGATAGATGCGTGCGCGAACTAATATGCACGAACTGTTTGGTGCGTGGTAGCGATGGGAATCGATCGCACGACCGCCATCACTTCCTTTGCTTACATGCTGCGCGCGGGTTAGGTGGTCGATAGGGCAGGCACTGCGGACACTGTGCACGCGATATTGTGATGTAGCGCAAAACATGGGGGGAAGAAGAGAAAAGGAGTGTGTGCAGCTGTTGTTCTAGGTGTACTATTATTGTGTCTCAGATGGAATGTAGTTTGACTGCCGGCATGTCCGAAAGTGCAAGCACTATTCAGGTTGGTTTGAACTCTCTGGCTTTGGGAGAAAGTTGCTTAGTACCTTTTCCTTTAATATTAAAAACTCCAGTATCATTTTTATTGCGCAAAATATTCGAACTGAATGGAATCTAAAGATAAAGTGACAAATATGTCTCCCAACACAAAACACGAAGTGTACTACATTACTACGGTGGTTAGAATTTAAAGACGATTTCACAGGCTAGAGTGTCTACTTCGAATGCGTTGTGAACAAACTGACTCTAAAGTTCAAGCAGTAAAGCGGCGTTTTTCTCCATAGTTCATGAGTAAAAGTTACTGAACTGTACTGATATGGCAAACATCATAGCAGCACTAAACGTTTCAACGTGATAGGTGCATAATGCACGCTCGATATCCCACCAATTCCACGAAGCTGCTGGGTATATAACCGGAATATTTCATACACGAAACTGTTGAAAATCTTCAAGTTTCTAAACTTTTCATGCTCTCAAATGAAAACGAGCACATCATCCCTGATGTGAACGTCTCCACTGGTGACTGAACATTAGTGACGAGAACCAAATACTGTGATGTTACAAAAAAGTAACTCTTTTAATGAGTGTCAGACACAGCAGTTCCCAAATCAGATTATCATCCACATATCCGCAAAGTACAAGACTGCAGTTTCAACCTGGTGGGCATCAACAGTAATGCGCATTCATCGGATCCATCAGGATTCGAATCCATGATTACCGGCGGCTTGTACCGCCAGTCCTCTACTCTGGCCATTAAGCCAAGAGGGACATCTTTGGACTGTTATGAGTAAAGAGCTAACTGCAATATAGCGTGTCTTATTCTATTGCCATAAAAGTTACCAAGTTTGCAGAGGACGGTGTAGGCGCCGAAACACATGATGTCCACTGACAGTAGCTATCCAAGACATAGCATTTAGAATGTATTATTGCAGATAGTTTAAGTCGGCAATTTTTGACATCAGTAATTGAAAGGTCGTCAAAGTAGCTTTGCAATCAGATAGTCCACCACATGCCGAATTGGAATTCTGATGGATCCAATGGATGTGCATTCTAGCTGCCTTCTATGCATATGGAGAACTGACCGATTTAGAATCTGTTGCGACAAACCCAGTTAGTTAAACAAAAATCCTCTACTCTGAGTAAACTAATCCGCACCTTGATTTTCCTTTGACTTACATTTTTACTTTACTCCTAGTTTCTGACTGTGTTCCAGTTTATTGATCGGTGGTCATAAGATTAAATATAACTGAACCACAGGACTTATTGTAGAAATCGCCTACTTGGCCTGGTCACCTTGACAGATACCACAGATTAACTATGCTAAAAGTCATTATGTGGCTGTAAAATCCGGGATAAGAAGGTTAAACAATCTGTAAATTGAAGTTGTTTCAGGGACCCACAGTTTTCGTTATCTGTAGTGGCACTTGAAGCAACTTTGTTGCAAAACTTTCAATGCCCCATTCGGTACGTAACCTAACGGTGTGTTTTCAAACAATGTATTTATGGATTCGTACCGTTAATAGGGGAACATCTCAGTTCCTCTGCACATGTCTATGGTGAATCCACCAAAACATTCCTTACATTTTATTTTCGCAATAAGTTCCATTCCACGGTGCTTGTTAAGCATTGCTATTTTAACAGTAAGACAGCATTGTTCCATTGTACTTTTGACAGAAATTTTCGATGAATGTTTAAGAAGTGGTACCAGCCGTAACATCTGCAAAACAGCCAGAATAACGCTAGTGTCTGTAAGTCAATAGCCTGTGCCTCCCAACTGTTGACGGTTCTTGTGAAAAATCGTATTTTCAAAAGAGGTCTAACCGTTTGCCTACAGGCTTGGGCGCTCTACAGTGGATGCTGGTTCGTATCTTGCGTATTCCTTTAGACAACACTAGGTAAAAAATGCCAAATCACTCGGCTACAGGTCCTTGATTATTTCGAGGTATCTGGGAGTCCTGACTAATCGCCACTATCCCAATTTCTGTTTGTGAGTTCAACCCCCATTTGTATGTAATGTAATGTATGAGCAGTTTTAAATCTTACACGTTTCACACATCTATATGGTGCAATGTCTTCTGCCTTCCCGTCCAAGTGATATATTTTATGAAGGGCTATTTCCCCTTGTTTCTTTTTTCCTCTATGTTTAATGTCTGCCAAAATAATCCACCTTCACCAGGTGCAAATATGCTAATGACATCATTCTACGGTGAGCAGCACCACCAACTCAGGAAACTTGAAAACTTTGGCGAGGATTGGAAGCGCTCCTTCTTCAGTCTAGACCCCGGATACGTTTCCTGTATCCTTACAAGTGATGCGATTTCACATCATCTGTTCTCCGTTTAGACGAACCACATTCTGTACAAACCGCCTCTTCTTGGAGAAATTGCTAAATCATGCCTTGTTCGTCTATTGGATTGTCTCGGTGTTTTCCAACCTTACAATTTAGGCTGGTCGATATATATTTTTGAAAAGGTTCATTGAGTTAGTAGACTATTCTCGTACCTTTTCCAACTGAAAAGCTCTCCGTACCCTATGACCTGATGCTGAGGTTTGTAAAAAGGTGTACTCTCTTCTATCAATCAGTTTCCTTGGACATATTCGAAATCATGTTACGCTTCTTGTATGTTTACTAACAGATACCGTCCGATCATGTAGATTATGAAACATTTCATCATTGCTTATATTTTTAGCAGATCTCTTGATGCACGCTTCATTGTTTGACTCAAATTCCCAAAGTACCCCATTTACATCTTTTTACTGTTTTATGCAAAGTGGTATACAGTAATTACTGGCGGTCCAAAATTAAACTTATAGTTTGTCCTCGTTTGTCGTGTCGCCGTGTCCAGTCTGTCTTGCTCGTTAGTTGACCCAAAAGCAATGATGTATCAAATACGAGACAACTTGCTTAACTGAAAATGCACTCTTTATTTTCCTTATCACGCTGTATTAGGTACTAAGGTTGTATTGCTGTATAACCACACTTTTATTGTGAATTGCTGCAAACGTCCCTACATGGATGTATTGAAGTACATTTGCCTTGAATTAAGTCGAAAACCCTGTGGGAAAACCTGGTGAACTAAGATCCACTTACTGAGGCCAGCAGTTCTCCGTCTATATACCAGAATATTTTCGGACGTGGATAGCCGCCGGCCTTTACCATGAAACGTGCCGGTGATCCCTCCGTTACTGTGAGTGCCTCCGGTACGATATCAAACGATGGTGCACTGGGAGCCTCCTCTTCTTCAAGTCTGGGGCGATCGTATCTAAATTTGAGATGAAAAGAAAAGGTTACAACTTGAAGAAGACGGATACATCATTCCGGACTTTAGAAGCGTACTATCGGTTGTTAACGAAGTCCTGATATTGCGTAGTTGTTTGAACATCGCAGTTGCCTCCTGCATTCAACATTTCTTTCTTATGACAAGTTGTTACAAGTCAAATGGAAAATGTGAGAACGAAGCGGCACAAAGAAGTACAGTGATAATGTCTGCGCTATCGAAGAAGCCTTACATGTTGCTAAGAAGCGGATTCGCGTTTAATGCCTTTGTTTTTAGGGTTGTGAATATACAACGGCTGAAGCAAGTAACAATTAAATTATCCGACTCCAGTAAAAACTTCTTTCATCCTGGCATGCGATTAATGCGTTTCAGTAATGCAGACATTTTGCCCCTATTCCTCTTTAACCATACGAAAATGCTAACTTTCAACATTTTAAGCAATTGACCTTTTCACTTCAGTAACTAAGGAGAGTAGGACTGCCAATTTTTCTTTCCCATCAGTTAAATCCTCGCATGAATTTTACAGTAGAAGTTAATAACGTAGAACTTCCCTGGCTACATACCCTGCTATTAACAGAAGTCAATGATTAAAATAAAGCGGTTAAATAGACTACGTTACGCAGTTGCTTTGATTGTGTTTCTAATCCGCAAATTATACGCAGGGCATTGTATTAGAAAAGTGGATCCAGTGTTGCGTTTAACCTGAAAGCGCGCAGCCGTAGGATATACTTTTCTTAATGTCAATGATGTTAAAGCCATATAACTGTAGACAAGGCGTTTGAACTCATTCTTGCGGTATATTTCCCCACCATGAGGTTCGAACACATCGCAATTTCCAATAAGTAATTAACCACATCTAAGTAATTAAAATATTTTCCACTACAAAATTTCGGGAAACTTTCAATTATTGAAGTGATGAACTGCAGCAAACTGAATAACAATCGTTCAGTAATAAACAACTGTGTACTCAAGTATTCAGGCTAAACTTTCAGCGAATAGTCATTCAAGAGAAACTGGCATGGCGCTGGTTAGTCCGATTATTTGCTATCAGTTGATCCATGTGTACCGAAAGTTTCGTGAATAAGTAATTGTATAAAGTGTTAGGGCTAAGTAAGTATATTGACAATGGTCAGATTACAATCGAGAGTCACTTACCCTGCCATTTGGTCACTGCCCCAGTTGTCCAAGCTTTGCAAATACGAGACCGAGTCCTTAGAGAGCACAGAGTTGGTTACGATGCTGGCCTCTGCGGTACAACTGCAACAAAGCACAGTGATGTTATCCGACTGTTGAGCAAACTGAACTCCTTATAAAAAGCTATCTATTAAAATAAGGTGCCACACTGTTTATTTTTGGCTGGTTGATTCATTTCATGGTAAGTCAGAAGTGATGGTTTCGCGCATTTGTGCGTGACCACATACGCAGTACTATTTGATAAAAATATCATAGGAGCGGATTCTAGATAGTGGTACATACTAGTTTATAAGTTACGCACCGCAAACTTACAATTATCAAGCATCAAGTGAAGTAGAAATTTTAATAAAAGAAAGTGGAACACCATCATATATTATCATTTTGAAGGGTGTTCACGTAGTGGAATTTACTATTTGGCAAAATATTAGCAATATAAAATCATTGGAACTTTTCGCAATCAATGTTTTAATAACATATATATTATAATGATTCGGGAAACAGTGTCCGTAATGACACAGATCAATATGCACTTGGATATGATGTTCCTTAACGAGCTGCTTGTTAACAGGGCTAAGATCTATTGAAAAATTTCGCTGACTTGAGTCAAACTGGTAGCCCAGTTTTAATAAAGGTTATAGAATGGAGGGCACTGATGGTTGATTCATCAAACCGACGGCAAATACAATGTGTACAGGCTGCAATCATGAAATTAAGCTTATTTCTACTGCTCCCGGTCGAACAAGTGGACACTTACAGAGTAACCTCTCCCAATTTTTACAGTTGGCATGGTAAAATGGGATGTCAATAGCATGTGGAATAGTCACTACCCTTTACTCGGTTGGGGGAATTAATTAACAACTAGTGGCTCGTATAAAATACGAAGTCAACAAAGAAGTCGGAAGCAAAGATTTCATTTTGCGATTTTATTCTAAACAAATCCGTGTGCCGGTGTTGATGCATCATAATTCTGGATACACCAAGCCTGACCAAATGTAAAGTATTTCTACATGTCAGCTGCGCCTGTTCGGCCTACAGTCGGGATTTTAGACTCCTTCCACCAGAAATCAATGCTCACTGTACAGATGAGTACTACGTTGAAACTATTATTTGGTGTGAAAACCGTTGTAAATTTGGATGTCTTCAAATAGACAATCACGTTAAGGAAAGTGAATGCGTACGTTTTGAGTCAATTCTTAGCGCAACGGAAACATTACTGAAGAATTAAACAGTAGTAGGGTATTCATGTTGTTTTGATGATGATTCAGCAGAGGAAGGCTCAGTCAGACGGATACCACACAGTTATAAAAGAGCTAGACGGCCGCTCTGTCTCATTTGGACTGGCCGGTAGTGTACATTCTCTGATTTCTGTTGAATCCGAACCCCTAACCTAACTCTTCTAGTCGGCGGCTTAAGTGGTTGGTCCCCAGAGAATCTACTATCTTGTCATCTCCAGTGGATTATAAGCCGTACTATCTCGTAGTTAGAAATTGTTCATAGCATTCTGCAGTCTTCAATCATGACTCAGTGGGACAGTTAATTACGTAAAACAGATAGAACTGCATTTGCAAATTTCAAGTGTTCATTTACCAAAATGCTCAGGGGGCGGTCACCAACGCTTACAAATGAGGAGCAATGTTCGCACCAACAACTCAATGCACTCTAACTTCGAGGGGTGAAAATCAATCTCACTCTCCTCTATAGTATACTATGCTTGCGAGTTTACTAAAACAGTACAACCGGCGCCTTAAATAACGGCTTACTCGATCCCACTCCTAATGGGAAATATCTACTATCCTTACAGAGGACAAAGAAAAATATCCGACTCAAATTCTTCCTGGTGAGATACGCTCATCTGTGGAGTAGACTACCTTTGCAGTTAATGACCTGCGAGTGTGTCAATTTTTAATATTAATTTAAAACCCTTTGTTACCTTGCCAAATATGGTCAAACGTTTCGACATTCAGCAATCCACGAGCACACTCATAAAATCAGGCTCGAACAATATATGGCAATGATAAATATCAATTATGCTTGCTTATTACATACTCACCAAAACATTGCATGACCCTTTCACATTAAGTAGAGTTTGTACAAGAGATATCAACGAAACTCTTTGAAAAAATGATCGTTTCACAAAAGGGAAAGTATCAAGCTGGTCGGGAAATATATCCATTTATTTAGTTGTGTGTCGCTGACCCGTAACAGTAGCGTCATGGATTCTAATCCGGTAGGATACGGAGGATGGGCGTTACTGTGTCCCAATGACATGAAACAGTCAGTTAGCTCTGTTTTGGATTCGTGGCACCTGTCTGGCTTAGTTTAACTACGAATCTTCTCGACAACATGCACCGCGTTTAAACAGCAGCTTCGTCCAATAGTGGTATATTCTGAATCAGTAAAACTGGTGCATCTTGCTAATATCGACACCTAGGGTAGGAGACAACCACGAATGTCGGCATAATACGGAAAATGATAATAATGTTATTTGTCGTGTTGGCTGTGGAACAGAGTTCCTGCTTTCTATTTCTATACAAATGCCTTCCAAAAATGAATTTAGTGTCTTACTCAATCACATAAATTAAATAGTAGACTCTACATCAATTTGCTGAATAATTTATCCTTTTCGTACCAAACATCATCTAGCATACTGAGGCCAATCCTTTCATATTCCTACTCCGTGTAAAGCCCATTAATATCACCCGAATTATTACTTTGTTATATTGATACTAGTAATCGATCCTGTAATTTCATCCACGTCACATAATGGAATGTACAGATTTTTGCGCGTTGACTTCGATAAAATAAAGTTCCATTTTTACTTACATCTTAAAGTATGTGAACAAATAAGGTATTGGTTCGAATATGGAGACGGGGAAGAGTCTACGCTTTCTCTTTGTAATCCTGTATGTATGGTGTCAAAAATTATACAGTCAAGAATAGCTGCTGAGTACCGTCGCCTACTGAACATAATGGGTTCACTGCTACAGATTAGGTTTTACCGCATATTACTTACGTTGTCTATGTGCGAGCGACGGTGCAATCTTCTGTAAAAATAGGCTAATAATATCAATACTTACGCGTAATCTTCAATCTTTCCACTTCCTTACTCATCTTCAAAACGTCGCCTTATTCAATTATATTTAGTTAATACTTGATATTTGCTAGACAAATGACTAATAGTGTGGGTCCTATTACTGGGAAACTTAGTCACTACGGTCGTTCCCGTCCCCCCATAGCTCAGTGGTATCAACCACAGACTGGCAGCAGTTGACTTAAGGAATCGAGCAGCACAGGGTTCAGACGGAATGCTCACAGCTAACGATTCTCGATATGATAAAACCGCCTTACGATGATTTGTCAGGTGTGTGATAAATATCTGACGGAGACCGGATGTGATGAATTTCCTAGTTCTGCCGTGAAGTAGTTACCAACTTTTTACATTTGTTAGTTTTAATTTCTTCTTTCCAGATCCATTTCATCTTACTTGTCTTCAATCGACGGTAATTTAAGGTTTAGAAATAAGGTGGTGGATTTTGGCAAAATGTATCAAAACGGGGTTATTGTGTAATATGTGGTACAGTTTACGCGTTTAACAGCAGTTTGACGGAATTAATTATTCGGTAGATGGGCGTTTTAATAATATTGGTTTCTTGTATTGGAACCACCAATTATTCTCTGGTAAGTTACTACTGAGGATAATGTTCACAATGTTCATGTGTACATCTGCAAGAAGTGTTTTTCTGAGTACATTCGGATAGACACAAGCTTATCTGAAACACAAACGCGTAAATCAAAATTGGCAATCTGTAATCCGTTTTGAAAGCTAATATATTATCATTAAGCAAAATGTTTAATAACCAAAAATGCATTCAGATGGATTTTATGCGACTGCTTATTTTCCACCTGCGACAGTTGGTGATTTTGGATACTGAATCGAATTTTATGATATTTGAACGCATAGCGAGGATGCATCGGATCTAATTACTGCACTAACAAATTGCCCCGTATTTGATAGTTTCGCAGCCGCAGATCTTGTTATGTATACTCCAACGCTTGCACTCTGCGCCATCAAACAAATAGCATCATCTGAACTTCTGTGCTTTTGTTTGGCAAAGCAGTGTAAATCTAGGGTCAAAAAATGTATTGTCCTTGTTTAAGCGCATCCTAAATGTAGTCTTGGAGTTGGATGGTTGTTTAAAACATTTTTTGTTAAATAGAACTCCACAACTCATCGCTCATATAGTAGAGGTTTGGTCTGCAACATTCTACAAAATTATTGCCGTACTAGTGGTCAATTATCTCTAAAAGATGGATAACGACATGCCCTGTGTAAAGTCTTTCGCTCATGGATTGAAGTATGAACAGCTGTTTAATTGTAATACAGTTTGTAGATCCCTCAGCTACTCGTAATTTGAAGACAGCGTCGGTAGCAGCTGCCTGTAACTCATCGACATGAAGCAACTTTTACATTCATTCGCTGAGTTAACTTCAACGACGGGCTTGACTGATACCTTAATAGATGGCATAACAATCGTTGAAGGCTTGCATTTTTTTGCCGGCTGCTGTCCAGAGAGCGAACTACTAAAGTCGTAAATGCCTGCAATAGACGATGATCAATCCAGTGTATTCCAGCTGTAACTCAGGGCAGTACAATCATACGAGGAACGCATGCGCTCGCAATGAAAGCTCGTCTTTCTTTAATAAAGGATTGCAATAAACCAGTGAAAGAATAGATGAACTAACGCTCTTCGCTGTCATGGCCAAGTATCTCATCCGATCCTCGTAAGTTTTGTAGAAGAATATGAGAGCTGGCTTTGTCAGTTAAGTAAAAGGTGGAACTAAGAGAAACAGCTAGTTCTGGTGGCTCAATGGAGAACAGAAGCCTCTACTGCTACTGGCAGAGTTGCCCCTTAAGATGAGTTAGCATGAAGTTGTCCGCGTACGTCAGAATGGTATGGGCTGTTAACATTCTACGGTTACATTATACACATCCTTTATCAAAATGAACTCGAGCAGCTAATCTTCGGATTATTCTTGTTTGCCCTAAAATGTTATCATTATAG